TGGTTTTCTCGAAAATTACGATTTCCCAATCAGCGTCCTCCGAACGTTTCGTCACCACCCTCTCGTACCGTCCTGCACGGGCCTTGTCTTGAAGAGGGGTGCGACACGTAATTGCGTGGTTGGGGAGGTCCTCTGGGCCTTGAGATGTCATCCCCGCGACGGTTGGGATTAACTTTCCCAAGACGCGTTCAAAAATCTCAAGTGTTATTGAGGGAGGTTTTTTCGGGTCTTTTGGATTTACGACACGTCGCGATCATTAGAAAAGACGGAGACACTGCCCGGATGTTCGGCAGCTGCCAAAAAAGGTCTCCGTCTCCTCAGATGACCCACGCTTGTCCGTGCCATAAACCCTTCACGAGAGAGGTCTGCGGGGGTTCTACGTGACGGAACAGCGGTCAAGCCACTAAGCCAACCTGTTCCGCTCATTGGCGCGACCGCCTCGCGCCACTTGATCTCGCCTCTCATTGGTTACTGTTTTTCGTTAATAACTCATAAATAAATTAAAATGGGCTACGTATTCACAGCCATATCTTTTTCGTAAGAACAATTATGCATGTACATTTTAGAGTTGAACCATTTTTTTAAATGAAAATCTTTCTCTTTTTGCATTCATGCGATCTTTTTGTTATTCTACGTAAAAACATGTAAAGAAGATTGAAAAATATTCTTAATGTATGTGAAAAAATATCGTCATTAATAAAACGCTCGAACGCCTTTCGAGACATTTTCATAACTGAAATAATTATTCCTTAAAGTAATTTCATAGAAGAAAGATTGTGACATCCTTTTTCATACACTTAACTAATATTTTTTCACTCCATAAGTGGAGTTAATGCACATAATAAGAGGACATATTTCAAAAATACATTATTGAACTTAAAGAAAAATACCTAGCTCGCTTTAAATCATTTATCTTTGTCTTTTAATATTTTGTTCTAACTTCAATAAAAAAAGAAACACATTGTTCGTTATAGTTGCGTTAATAGCTTTTTGAGTACTATAACTCCATTTTTTGGGAGGATCGTTCTGTCACGTGTCGGCTTTTACCCTAACAACACCGTTGGTTTTTATGGTAAAGCTGATGGGGAGAAGTATCTTCGTTTTAAGTGCTCTTTTCTTGCTACAATTTCAGAGTCAGCTGGGAATATCGGTGATACTGACGGATGACATTGCGTCTGGACAGTATCACCGTATCCCATGGATCGACCGCCCCCACTTTAATTGATCCTTGAGATATTGACATAGTGGGGAAACGTATCGTTCTTTTACCCCATTTCCTACAATTCCTTACAATCACAGCTAATTGGATTCTGGATTAGCTATTACCGTATTATTTAATAAGAATTAAATTACAGTTAAACATTTTACGAAAATTATAGTTAAACTTGATAAATAAATAGCGCTGAACAAGACAATTCATGATGCGATGATAAAATATATAACGATGTCATTGTTTCAATGAGAAAAGGCAAATTTAATTCTCTACCTAGTAACAGAAATACAAAAATCACCAATTTGGGAAACAATGATATGCATTTTTTAGTGCTAGCTAATGTTGATCATAACATATCAAATAGAAACAATTTATTATATCTTATGTCAGAAATTCAGTTAAGAAAAGATGGTATATTTGCCCGATTGTAATTACAACGAAGTTTATAATTACATAACTATTTCTTTCTTAACGTTCTATTTGCACCTTGAAACTAAATGTTCTAATGCATTATACGGAACACTGTAATGTAACAACTATGTATTTCAGTTTTTTAGAAAATTTGAACTGAAAATTATCAACGATTGTTTACAACTGCGACACAAGGATGATATTTATAATTAGAAAGTATATATGCATGTAACGCATTTTCACGTAGAATACATGCATATGTACCATACAGTTATGGTAACCAGAAAAATAACCTAGATTTCAAACCGAAGGAGTAGGGGTAAGTAACTTGACGCGTTGATTGACACAGTGCAGCGGAGTGGGGGTATAACGAATGTTTTTATACCGTCGCCGGCGTCACGTTATCTACCTTCATTCCTTCGGTTTGAAATCTAGCTTATTTTTTCGGCTACCATGTTTATAGTGTAGATGAAAGAGAGAGAGGGAGAGAGAGAGAGAGAGAGAGAGAGAGAGAGAGAGAGAGAAGCCAGACTTACTAGAAACTGAGAAATACAATTAGATATTATTTCAATTTTATAGCCAGGAACTCCAAATCCTGTGGCGCGACTCTACGTAGCAGATTTGGCAGATCCAAAGAATATTCATACGAAGGTAGTGAAACCGCCACCTATCATCGAGCATGTGTGAGTTTAAAAATGAATTTTAGAGTACAAGGTTCAATAAATTTGCCCCTTTCTACATCTGCATGACTAAAAGTAGTATAGCCGAAAATATTTGAATTTCGTTGAGCTTTCACGTCATGAGTTTTTTTTTCAAGATTTCTTCCTCTGGAGAACATTGAAAGAAAAGTTTATGACGAACCATAAACAATGCTCGAATATATGCGATGAAAGATTATACTGCATGCGTAGTTATCGCAGTAAACAAATAGTAGAAGAATAGTTAGCGGAAGTTGAGTAGTCATTTATTTACCGCGTATACGAAATTATTGCAGTCAATAGACATTATTTTGAAGATCGTTTAAACGAAGCTAGAGGACAATTTCTTAATGTTTTTCCAGATCCAAAAATAATAAGCGTGAACATAGTCGAACATAAAAGTATAGCCAAGTTTTTAAAACGGTGTAACATTTACAAAGTGGTATAATATTTACAAAACGTGTCCTTTAAATTTTCATTGTGACCAAAGAAAGTCAAAGAGCATAATTTAAAAATTTTTCTTTTCACCCCAATCAATTGCAATTTTTGAAAAAATGTTCTCACGCATTGACTAGTTCCAATATCTTCAAAAAAAAAAAATAATAGTCGCCTAGTACAATTTTAAAAGAGCTATTCCATTTGAAAAAGTCTGCTATATTTTTATGATCGACTGATGTGTGTATAGAAAACTGGAGGGACTTCAGAAAAAATGATTACAGAAAGTTTACCGTATTCTATATATATGTAGTCGATATGGTATATAGTATACGTATATAGAATAACAGATCAAAGAAGACAGAATGCACAGTATTTTAAAAATATGCTCGGAAAATTTGATTAACGTATGCAAGGAAATAATAAAGTTGTAGCTCGTTTAGTGTTACGTATTATTTCTATGTAAATATTATAGGACTCAAAATTTTAAATGCGTCTTCACTCAAAAACTACTGTACCGATTGAGATCAATACTTGAATATATCTTCATCAGAGGTTCGACCATCGTTATTGCTAGAATCATGCTGAAAGACATTGTTTTCTAATTTTCAGATTCGTTTAAAAACGAAAAGAAGGTTGAAGCAAACGAAACTTTATGTTCAAAGCGTTTGTTATTTTTCTATTTTCAAAATTTTTCTTTTTCGTGGATTCCAATCACGGCCGCAGATACCACTAAAAACAAATTGATTGGATTTTTTTAATTTCAAATAAATACACCGGCACGACAAATCATAAAAGCTATAAATACAATCTACCTTTTTTGCAACCACAGTTTTTAGATAAAATTTGTAATTATCCACCAAAGAGAAGTACCATGAGAGAACGAAGTTTATGCTAATAATGTTTATTGCATTTTTAATAAAAAAAATTGTAAAGAAGCTAAAAAAATACACCTGCAAACTGAATTTTCATTTAAAGATTTCTTTAAACAATGTTTCACCAGGAAACAAATACATATCCATTAACAACAGCATAATTTATGCTGATTATGCTTTCAGCTCCTTGATTCAGATTCCTCTGAAATCTGACCATCTGATCATCTTAATCGATTAGTATCAATTAACGTGATAGTTTCGTGCGTTTTAAGAGGACATATAAACACAATTAAACGTAACACTAAAACTTTACTTAATCAAAACTCGATAAATGAACGTACGATTTATCGATATTACAAGAATTTCACTGAATTCTGTGACACCCTGTAGATTAAAGACTACGCACTTTAATGATAATTTGATCAATCTTGAGCAATGCATTATAGTGTATCTATCTTGCTTTCTGAATCTTGTATACGGTCGTTTAATGGTAAACAAATGCTAGTAATAGAACATATACAATAAATAAAATTTATGAAGATTAAAATTCAGTTTATTATATATTTTAATAAAATATTGAATTTTATTTATGTGTATACGAATACATATCAAAAAATTATTACTTACAAATGAAACTGTTTCATCAACGATTTGAATTGTGCATGTGTCGCTATAGTTAGTAGGTATAAAAATGAGAATGAAGTAGAACCTACCGTTTCCAAATGTTCTAACATTCAAGTTAGGTTTTGGTTTCCAAATACGGTGTCTCCTTAATAATTTTATTCTTTTACCAGATTCGTAAACATTATTCCCAGTAGAATTAATTAAATCAAAGAGATCAATGTTTCTGACACTATCAAGCAGTATGAGTTGAAATATTATTATTGGTCCATCTAGTTTCTGTCAATTAATTTAAATTTAAATTGCTTTGATATTGTAGGAACTTTAGTGATTGATATTGGGTCCTTAACATGTTAATGTTGAAAATCTTTAATGCTCTGCTGCTAGTTCGGATACGGAAGGCTCTACTTAAATATATTTATATATGTGCAGATATATCAATTTAGGCTGTAAACGATTTCTGTCTATCAACAGAGAACATTACTTTACTTCGGCTTCTTGGGTATCTTCAACGGAGGTGTGCATAACGTGGTTAACACGTGCTCAGAACCTCTCGGTTGTAACTAGATGCCAAAGTCCAATGTGGCGTTGTCAGGTGCGTTACAAGTTACTATTATTTAACGGAGCATCATTTAACCCCCTGAACGCACAAATATTTTTATCTATACGCGTCATTCCGAAACTGTAAATTAATTTCCAATATTGTAAAAAACATTCTTGTATACAATACAATATGTCTTTTTTATATCTTTTAATCGTCGTATATATATGTCAAAATGTGAGTAAATTAATTTTTCCTTTTTTATTTTTCCACAACATGGTCTAATATTAATATCTTTTAATATCTTAAAAAAATGTTAATCTTTTGGTTTTACTTTAAAAAAAGTTATTGTCTTTTAAAAAATATTCGAATATTTAGCATATCTGTGACTATAATGCTGACGCACTTCTTCAAAGGGTTGAAAACGTTCTTTGTTGATTTACTGTGCCCAGAATCATGTCAGCCAGAAAAATAAGCTAGATTTCAATCGGAAGGAGCGGGGGTAGGTAACATGACGCATCGATTCGCTCTATACGGCGGAGTGGGAGGCACAACGAGTGTTTCTACACACGTGCCACGCCGCGCCACATTAACTATCCCCACTCTTTTAGCTTAAAATCTAGCTTATTTTTCTGGCTATCATATCCGTTAAGGGGTTAAAAGAGAGACAGATCGTTGTGCGACCAGCTAATATTACGATTTCATTCAGGAGATACAAAGGATAGTATCTGAAGATCGTGGATGGGTGGACACCCCTCCAGAAGCACCTATTTTCTCAGCAAATGGAAGCAGTTATATTGCAATAAGTCCGGTTAAGGATGGTCCATCTGGTTATTATAAACACATTGTTTGGGTGAATGTTGATCGAAAGTTGACTATTCCTCTTACGCATGGGAAATTCGAAGTCACCCAAATAGTGGCATGGGATCAAGTGAACAATACTATGTAAGTTTTGTCTTCTTCTCTTATGCAGAATAATTTTTTATTTGGTTCTACTACAATTTTTTACTCACAATATGTTTACCATACCTAATTGGTGATGGGATTTCTACGCGTATTATTTTGTAATGTTAATCGCGACAATTAGAACAATTCGACTTTGTAATTTAAGAGCAAAGCCAAATTCTGCAACTTTTTTTTAGAATCTTTAGTGATAC